CGAAAGAGTAACAGTAACTCAAACATAACAAACTAATTCGTGTGGAAGTATGTCTCAAACTAATCATACGAAGATATAAGTTTGAACTTTTCTCAAATTGTACTTAAGTGTTTTGTACGTATCGAAATGGTAGTTACGAAAAAAGTAACGAAATCGTTGTAATTGTTACTAAATTGTAACTATTAAGCCACGTGTACACTGACTACTGAACTATTTCGAATTACTGATTACCTACGTATAGCAGAAAAGGGTTGTGATAAATACTCCTCGAATTATATTGTCAGTTTGTGGTCAAGTAACATTACGTGTATGTGTGTGAATTATGACTCTACCAACATAACTCCCAATTATCAATAAAACACCATTACTTGATTAATTATACTCTTTTTATTTAAATTTATCCAATTTTTTACTTCATCATCATCATCATTACAGCCTTTCATAAGTCTAATGCTGAAGATAGGCCTCCCCCAAGGAATGCCACAAAGCACGGTCCTGAGCCACCTGCAACCATCGACTTCCTGCATGTCTTACCAGGTCGTCACTCCATCTCGTGGGGGGTCGCCCTACACTTCGCCTACCGGTACGAGGCTGCCACTCAAGAACCTTTCTTCCCCATCAGTTGTCGGTTCTTCGAGCTATACAATGGTTTTTGAGAAATATTTTACTGATATTCCGATCTTGACCACTAAGTCACTGAATTCTTCTCCTGCCGTCGCCGAATCATTACTTAAACAAAATGTAAATGTGTGTACAAAGAATTTTACATTTCAAAAAGTGTCATCAAAAGATATTGTAAAATATTTTAAAAACTATTGATGTTAAGAAAACTGCGGATCTATGGGGGATTTCCGTTAAAGTTATTGCGTCTATAATAGATACAATCGCGCCTCATTTAGCTATTATTTTTAATATTAGTATCGAATTTGGTGTGTTTCCTGATTTAATGAAGCATAGTAAAGTAATACCTTTATTTAAATCTGGTAGTACATTTGACCCCGCCAATTTTAGACCTATTTCTGTACTACCAACACTTAAGATTTTTGAAAAAAAATTTCTTGATCAAATGTAAAATTATTTTAATATAAATAATTTACTTCATAAACATCAATTTGGTTTCACAAGGGGTCGCTCGACAACTGATGCCGGTGTTGAGCTGATTAAATATATCTTTAATGCATGGGAGAATTCACAGGATGCTTTGGGTATATTTTGTGACCTATCCAAGGCCTTCGATTGTGTTCACCATGAAACATTAATCAGGAAACTTCAACACTACGGTGTAAGAAATGATGCCCTTAAATTATTTATTTCATATTTAAGTAAGAAAACGCAAAAAGTTGTCATTAACAATATGAGCTCTTCCGGATCGATGGTACAAATGGGCGTGCCTCAAGGCTCAATTCTCGGCCCCTTTCTGTTTCTTGTATACATTAATGACTTACCTTACATAGTAGGGGATAACCATGATATAGTATTATTTGCAGATGACACTTCTTTAATTTTCAAATTAAGTTGACAGTTACTAAAATATGACGAAGTAAATAATGCTATATCTAAATTAGTAAATTGGTTCGATGTTAATAATTTGCATTTAAATGGCACTAAAACAAAATGTATGAAATTCGTGACTCCAAATGTCAAACAATTAAATACTAATGTAATTTTAAATGGGGAGAAACTGAGTCTTGTAGATACCACCATTTTTCTTGGAATCACACTAGACGCGAAGCTTCAATGGAGCCCCCATATATCAAAACTAGCAAGCAGACTTAGTTCTGCAGCATATGCTGTAAAAAAGATTAGAAGTCTAATCAGTGTTGAAACAGCTAGACTAGTTTACTTCAGCTACTTCCATAGCATAATGTCGTATGGTATTTTGCTATGGGGACACGCAGCTGACACTGAAATTGTATTTGTTTTGCAGAAGAGGGCCATAAGAACAATTTATGATTTAAAGCCTAAAGAGTCGCTGCGACAAAAATTTAAGGAAATTAATATATTAACTTTGGCCTCTCAATATATTTATGAAAATGTAATGTACATACACAAAAATAAAAGTAGTTTTATAAAAATAAGTGATATTTATTCTGTAAATACTAGGAACAGACACAAGCTAGTAGTACCAGTTACTCGACTCCATCGAGTCAGTAATTCATTCTTGGGGCGATGTATACGCTTTTACAAGAAAATTCCAGAAAATATACAAAGTTTGACCTGTTCAAAGTTCAAAAACTTTATTAAACTAAGTTTGTATAAAAAGGGTTATTATAATATTAAGGAATTTATGGATGATAATAACCCCTGGAAATGAGGTGATCGCTACCAAGCTATTTCTAATTTGTTGTGTTGTTAATTTGTGTAACATCATGATTGTAAGCTGTTATTTAAAAAAAAGTCCCGCTGGGTTTCTTGCTGGTTCTTCCCAGGACAGAGGTTTTTTCCGAACCAGTGGTAATCAAACAAAAGAGTGACTTTCAATAAGTATTATTTATAATCTATATTGAATAAAAAAGTTTCTGTTTCTGTTCTATATGGCCGGCCCACTGCCACTTCAGCTTACTAATCCGTTGGGCTATGTCGATTACTCTTGTTCTACTGCGGATATACTCATTTGAAGTTATATATATATACTCAAGTTTATCACGCAGAGAAACCCCGAGCATAGCCCTCTCCATAGCTCGCTGAGCGACCTTGAGCTTCCTCATACGGCCAGCAGTGAAGGACCACGTAAAGATCCGTAAGTCATCACTGGCAACACGCACTGGTTGTACAATTTAGTTTTAAGGTTTCGAGGTATGTCTGACGAGAAGATGTGTCGTAGTTTCCCGAACGCTGCCCAGCCGAGTTGAATCCGTCGATTGACCTCTCGGTCGAAGTTGGACTTACCTAGTCGGACTATTTGTCCCAGGTAAACATACTCGTCAACAACTTCGAGCTTAGTGCTCCCAACAACTACCGGCATAGGTGTGACATGGACATTAAACGTGATCTTTGTTTTGTCCATGTTCATCCTAAGACCTATTCGTTGGGAGACACTATTGAGGTCATTGAGCATGGTCAATTTTTTACTTAATATTATTAAAAATAAATCAGATCTTCGTCGCAATATAATACATATTCAAGGGGGTTTTCCGATATTTGAAGCATTTTAATATGTTTTTCAATTAAATCTTTGGGTGTCCCGTGTCCTTATCCTCACCGATTGTTTTATGGAACTTTAATTTGTCTTTTTTATCGATAGTTTTAAAAAAAGATATTGTGTATAATGTTTCTGCTATATTGATATGTTCAATTATGCCAACATAATATTTCCAAGAATGTCCTATATAATTTCGTAATAGTACAATATCTTCTATATTAAATATTTCATTCTCCGCAGTATCAGAGTATTACCGCTTTGTTCCCTTTCCTTCATTACTCATCTCTAGCTCTTTCTGTAAATCATAAATCTGTATTTCTTCCTCTCTATTACCCTTATTTGCTAGTACCTTCTTATCTGTCTTATCAATCTGAATTTCATCCAGCTCTTTATCATTCCTAATCTGTAACTTTCCTCTATTTCATTAATTTTCATCAACTTACCTTTTACATAGTTGAGTAGATGCCGTGTCTAAGCAAGACGTCTTGTATAGGAACGACATCGAACGTGCAGCAGTACGCCGACAAAATGACTACAGTGCGCGTGTCTGATGCGACATAAGAAAAAAATCTTATAATATGTGTGGTCTCATATAAAAGACATTTTTCATAAGACACAAGAAATTTACTTGTAATGTGCAAAAGGGCTTAATTTACTCACCTACCTAATAATGCTTATCACTACTACACCAGTGTATACATTACTTAAGACTATACAATTTCGTAACATAACGAAAGTTACGAAATTGTTAGTGAAAAATAACGTTAAATTAGTTTTTACATCAAACTGTCAAGTTTATCGTTTACATGAAAGCATATATTAAGATATATCAGTCTGTTCAATATATGAAGCATTAAATATATATATTTTTTTAAATACCCATAAGAAAAGTCAACTGTTACTAAATTGTTACAATATTATTTAAGCACAAGGTTTGTTTTCTTTTAAATTCGTAAATTCGTTGTAGCGAGGAGGGAATCTTGTGGGGAGCAGCAGTGACATTTCATATTTGTATGAAGGTTAAAAGGCAAGGTGTAAAAAAAAAATGCTAATAAATAATTAGGCCGAATCAGAACATTCTAATATCGTTTTGATAATGAATGAAGTGCTAAGCTATTTTTATTGATAAGAGAAAATGGAAGAAGACTACCTACACATTTTAAAATAATGTTTAAATGTTAGTGACATACTTTATTTCGAAAAGATACAATTTTTTTGAAAAATACTTTGTTTCTTTCTCTCTGCAACTTTGAATTATCAAATGTTTGATGCCGATGAGTTAGAATTAACGCGTTGTTTTGTTACGTAGCAAATATTTTTTCATTCGAATTATTTGGTAATTCGAATGAAAAAATATTTGATGATTGATAAAAATATATTGATTTAGTTCGAAATATAAAGAGATTTTGTAGGGAACTCTTGATAACTTTGAATTATAGAGGTTTGAATTAACGAGAGTCAACTGTATATGATGACCATGTAAAATTGTATCTGCACTGTGAGATAGCTCTATAGATTTCATAGCTGCAACAAAGTGTTGGGCTTAAAATGTTAGGTATAGCAGTGACCATGTTAATCTCAAAATGAAAGAATAAATTATATTATTTTAATATGCTTCATTTAATAATTCAAAATTCATTGTCATTGCCACTAGCCATACATGTTACAAAGAGTGCCTCCCAACTAGTACTAAATGCTTCATTATTAAATTGTATAAGTCACTAAGAGGAAAACCTTATATCATATCATAGTGAAAATCTTTCAATGTATATTACATGCTCCACAAGTGTAATCAAATTTGAATACAAAAGTTCCTATTCTTTGTTTTTAAGGCAACTGCATCTCATGCATTTTATTTTCATCCAACAATCATGTTTGCTCCTCTGAGCTGAAGGTATCCTGCTGTTATATCCATTGGTAAACTTCTGATAGTTGCAAATTCTTCTACATTGCTATAATACAATTTTGAATGACGGTCCACATAAGGGGCTGGAAGGCCTGATATATCTGAATATTTTTTTGTTGGTTTAAATGTTGGTGGTGCGTTTATTGAGAAATCTGAAACAATTTTAACACAATTGAATATGCATGCTACTAATGTACTATATGGTCACTAAAATACAGTGATATAATCCAGAATAAAAGAATCTTAGGATAAAAAGCTGTTAAGTTCAAGACTTTGAGCTGGTCGGTAATTACTAGAAGTGAAGTAAATATAAGTACATCAATCTGTATTATTGATGATTACAACTTGATTTTCGACCAAGCGGTTAACACATCCATGTCACTTACTCAAAAACTGCATAGCCACATACTCATTCTAGTCTACTTATGCCCAATGTAATATTTATTCAATAGAATCATACGTAGACAAGCAAGTAGTACCAAAACATGGGGAAATCACAATGTAATCCAACCAAAAAACCAATAAAACATGATTTTATATGATTGTAGGCTTCAACTTGGTTCTAAACAGGCTACTTTGCTGCAGGTATTAATCTCCAACCACTAGAGAGATTAGATAAACCACTATTTAGTTATTTGTACAAAAATCACAGTCCCGTTTGGTTTCTTGCTCGTTCTTCCGAGGACATAGTTTTACGAACCTGTAGTAAATTTAGGTACTTACTTTAAATTATTGCAAAGTATTTTTTCTATTTCTATTTTATAAAGGGAGAGCAAGTACTTACACAACACGGCATCATTTTGCCATGGCAAAGCTCGTTCGGCGGTTAATATTTGCTTAAGGGATCGCCACATACGTTTTTTGCATCCACTTTTAACTATGAACTTGTTTTCAACTTTGAAGCAATAACTCTTATCACATTCGGTAATCATAATGTTAACAATTTTAGTTTTACACAATAGAAAGGTGTTTATGTTTAATCCGTAGTGTTTCTATATAGTTTGTGGTTTAATCATAGACATAGTATCTTAATCCTCTATCTACGTGTTTAATACAATTTTTTTATATATGACCCTTTACGGCTCTGGGTTCTAGCCCTTCTGAGCCTGAAGTTCCAATGTATAATTATCCTTCATAGTACCTACAGTGCTTCACAATATGTTGATGCGTCACATTGTCAGCCCTTGGGAGATTTTGACGGCAACTTTAGTTAGTTAGGCGATTTTTCGCCTTTTAGACTATTTTAAAGGGTGTCTGGGCGACCGAAAATTCCGATTGGCGACTGGTCGCAATTTAGGCTACTTCTGAAAAAAAAAACCAGGCCGATTTTCGGCTAGATAATTCTCTCTTTTATTAAGTAAGTCTCTTAGAATATATAACAAAGTACGTGTAATGAAACATGTTTTTGACACAGATAAATATCAAAGAAGACTAGATTTTAAGGCAATTATAAGTAAAATAATTCGTTTCAATTTTGTGAAATATCAATAATAATAAACAGATAAAACATATTTTATATGTTGATCTTTTCTTTTATTCACGTTTACGATAAATAGCTTCAAATTTTATCTTGTTAAAATTATAAATAAGGTTGATTAGGGTAGGTCTACGTTTAAAATTAGTCTTTAGAGGCTACCTAAGAATTTAGCAGGCGATTTTAGGCCACATTACAGAGTGAACAAATTAGGCGAATTTAGGTTACTTGACGACAAATTTTTGGCGACTCGGACCGGTATGGACTTGGCAACACTGCAGCAGACAGCTGACAGTTGGCGATGGTATCTCAAGGTGCCTAAACAAACAGACAACTTATCTTGTCACTATCGGTATCGGAGCACTTGTTTCACTGTTTCCACTAATAGTTCACATGCGCAGACACTTAATACACAAAATCGCACCACTTTTACATATCAAAATCCACTTCAAACCATTATTTAAACAATAATACAGGAGCAGCAAACCACCGCCGGTCAAATTCCCGCCAAAACTCCTTTTTAATACAAATTAACTAGCATGCACAGAGTACTTTTTATAAACTGCTAGTACCTAGTATGCTAGATGCTAGTAGTCTTGTGAAATTGGTGAAATGGGTCACACCAACATGTGCTAATTTGACAATAATACCTATATAGCTTTAAAGCTATGTTTATGAAAATAACAATAGTTTTTGTTTCATCCAAATTGGTGCAGAAATACAAAAGTTATAACGCTTTGAAGTTTCGCAATTTTTTTAAATTTTTAACCGCTCGTTTTCTGTGACGTGACGTCACAATCCGACAGAGCGAACGCGCAGTAGGTACTTGCTAAGTTCAGTACTAACGGCGCGCTCGGAAGTATACGGTCGTTTACTTACATATTATATCGAATGTCAGAGTTAATGTCCAGTTGACTATTAGAAGACATAATACTTATAATAAGCCCAACGACTATGTAATAATTTTGAACTAATTATTTATGAATAATCTAGTCTAACATGAATAATCTAATCCAATTCATTAATAAAATAATTAATCCATAATGTCAAAATTTTTCACTGTCAAAAGCTACGTATATTTATATTATTTTATTATTTGGAGGCCAAGTCTGGCTTACAAATTTCAATAAAAAGATCAGAAAATATATAAGAGAGTTGTTATAATAATAATTTTTTGATTTCAGACATAATACTAATTAATAAAGGAAAATATTTCTGCTGCGCCGTTGACAACTGTCAAAGCGTAACGTCTATACATACAATGTTTATCAATATGGAATAAATCCAGGGAAGTAATGTAATAATATTTCATTTATAGAGTAAAGTGCTTTTATTTAGACAGTAAATGATTGTTTCAGCGAAAGATGCGGGGTACAGCACATTTCAAGTTAATATGAATATGTAATAATTTCCCTTTTGTAGTATATAGCCCTTTATAGTATTTTAATAATCTCCCCTTTTGTAGTGTTCGTATAGCCCTTCTAAGAGCGTCTGAAAGCAACATAAACGGGACGTGCTGTGTCGAAGTGGCATTCGACCTTGAACTCTACTCTCTCCCTCTCACTTAAGATAGCTACTGTTTCTTTCCCCCTTGTTGTGCATAATTCTGTCATGAGTATACGTATAGCACTGATTTCGGTAAGTCACTGGTTGGACACACTGAAAATCAGCGCCATGGAGAGAAAAAAAAATTCATGGCATTATGCTGAGTGTGCTCCTGTTCCCAGATGACGCCTTGACACATATGAGTATTGGTATTGTATAGTTTGTAATATGTAGTATATTGTAATTTGTATTGTATAGCCAATATTATTTGTAAATTATGTGTTTCTTTTTTATGTTATCTGTGATGGCGTCATTTTGGAGAATAAACCTTTCTTTCTTTCTTTCTTTCTTTCTTTCTTTAATATAAAGACTTTTGAGTGTGGTAGAGATCTGTTTAGATTTTTTTAATGAATATCTCTGCTCCGCTACATTCACAGCCGGATTTCCTACAATTTCAAAATTGTGCTGACAGGCTGTTTAAAGGTAAAAGGGGATTAAATATACATATTAAACGATGCCATAGTAAAAGTATTTCGGCTTCACAGCCTGCCGTAGAAATTCATAACTTTATTAGCAATTCCTCTAATGACACAAATTTTTCCCTTTTTTCGGAGCAAATTTACAATTATTATCGTAATGTACCAATGGTTAAAAGAATTCCTAGAGGTGCGAGGATGCAGCTTGCTAAAGCATTGTCATGCACTATTCAAAATTGTTTCACTAATAGTGAAAATAGTTGGCAAAAATTATTTAGTTTCGCGTATTCCCATTTTCATTTTGATAAAACAATAAATAAATCAATTATGTCTCAACTAAATGAGGCATCTTTTCAAAATTTAGATTACCCAATTAATACTCATTTATCTCGACCACGTCCTAAATTTGATTTAAAAAAAGTAGTTGAGTCGAAAGTAATGGATGGCGACTTAAAAAATGCATCCCGTATTTTATTCTCAGACGACATCCTGGCTCCTCTTAATGTCGAAACTCTTGAAAGCCTTCGTCAAAAGCATCCTTCGGTCAAATCGTCTCAGGGTTTACCGCTGCCTCCCAAGACTTCTATGCAACCTTTACAAATTTCAGAAAAAGACACTTTAGAAGCAATTATGTCATTTTCGAATGGCTCTGCTGGCGGCATTGACGGAATTACGCCTCAACATCTTAAAGATCTTGTAAGCGCTTCTGCCGGTGACGCCGGCGAAGTACTTCTTAAAGACATTACAAAATTATGTAGCTTTATGCTTTCTGGTAATGTTAATCCAAATTTCATTCCATTCTTATATGGGGCAAGATTATGAGCCTTCAAAAAAAAGAATAACGGTATCCGTCCTATTGCCGTTGGTTCCACATTTCGACGCTTAACTTCAAAATTAGCTTGCAGGCACATAATCTGTAACTTTAAGACCAAATTCCAGCATACTCAACTAGGTTATGGCACTAGAGGTGCCTGTGAGGCGGCGGTACATTCAGTGCGTACATTTTTAACAAACTCTGATGCAGATGTTCTTGTGAAGGTTGACCTAAGGAATGCTTTTAACTCTATCGATAGGGTAAAGTTGCTGAAATAAGTGGCTAAAAATACCCCCGAAATTTATCATTAAGTTTGGCAATGTTATAGTCAAAATACTAACTTGTTTTACGAAAACCATGTTATCGATTCTGCTGTCGGTGTTCAGCAGGGTGACCCACTGGGTCCAGCACTTTTCAGTTTGGGAATTCAACACATTATTTCAAATTTGAAATCCAAGCTGAATGTCTGGTACCTAGACGACGGTACACTGGGAGGTAGAGCAGATGACGTCCTCAGCGATCTTACTCATATTTTTCGAAATTTTAAAAATATTGGCCTTGAACCAAATAGCAATAAATGTGAAATATTTTATTCCAATAATTTATCTACTTCTCATAGAGACACTTTAATTCAAAATTTTAATCATATTTGTCCAGGAATAAAAAGTTTCAGTACGGAATCACTATACCTGCTAGGTGCCCCGTTGTTTTTCGATAGTATTAAACCTGTTTTAAAAACAAAATTTGATCAGTTTTTAAACCACGTTGATAAATTGTATAAATTAAACCCCCACATAGCTCTTACTATTTTAAAATATTGTCTTCTTGTACCTAGATTTAAATACTTAGTCCGCTCGAGTCCAGTTTGGAAATGTTCGGATATTTTACAAGATATTGATAATAATCTTAAAATAGCTATAGAAAAAATTCTAAATTTAACTTTAAATACAACAGCCTGGACTCAAGCTACTTTACCTATAAAATTTGGTGGCATTGGTGTGAGAAATCTTTCTAGCGTTGCATTGCCTGCTTTCCTTGCTTCCGTGCATAGTGTCAGTGACTTATGTAACATAATTTTAAATAATAAAGTAGACCTATGCTTTGCTACGAAGGCAGGGCAGACATGGCAAACGCTCTGTCCTGGTGAAAATATTCCACTGGCAGTTAACCAACAAAAACAGTGGGATATTCCGTTGGTACAGGGCGTGCAGAAGGATTTGTTTCATAATTTCCATAGTGACCAAGATAAGGCACGACTTCTAGCTGTTTCGACTAAGGAATCTAGTCACTGGTTACATGCTTTACCATCAAGTAATTTCGGCACATTACTTGATAGGGATAGCTTGCGCATTGCCGAAGGAATCCGACTAGGAGCGGCGATTTGTCAACCCCATTAGTGCCCGTGTGGTAGCAGCGTCGACAAGTTTGGGTTCCACGGACTTTCATGTAAGAAAAGCTCTGGTAGGTTTTCACGACACAGTTCTTTGAACGATGTCATCCGAAGGGCTCTTGCCTCTATAAATGTTCCCTCGGTTTTAGAGCCTTGTGGAATATTTAGAGACGATAGCAAGAGACCCGACGGTATGACATTGGTCCCTTGTATGAGGGTAAAGCCCTAGTGTGGGATGCTACTTGCGTAGACACTCTGGCGGCCTCTCATCTCAGGGGTACTTCGTTTAAAGCCGGGGCGGCATCAGAGGCAGCTGAACTGAGTAAGTGGCGCAAATATGAGTCTCTGAGAGATGACTCCATATTTGTGCCATTTGCTGTAGAGACTATCGGTCCGTGGAGTCCACGTGCGGTGAAGTTCCTAAAGGGCTGGTTCTTTCCTCGCTCAAAAGCTAATTATAGCCATTCAGCGGGGTAACGCAGCCAGCGTTCTTGGCACGATACCGCGGGGAGTAGGACTATATGATAATTAAGTTTCTAGTTTTAGTTTTTTTTATTATCATAGTTTTTAATATTGTAGATAAAATTAGGTATTATGTAAAATTATTTGAACATTGGATTTGTTTACTTTAAATAGTACGATAAACAGTAAATCTGTCAATCCAATTTAAACAATAATATTTGATATTTGTATGCCCATGAGGCTGATCACAGACTAAACTTTATTTGTGTTTAAATAAGACCTTTTTGTAAACTGTGAATAACAAGTAAACTATTTGATTTGATTTATAAACTAAAGTATTTAACATTTAGCTTTTATGTGATTATATTTATATGTATAGTCACGGTGTGTAGTGCTGTTAAAAAAAGAAAGTTGAAGCGGGATTTTTTTTAAATTAAAACAAAAACGTTAACCCCACACTAGGATTTTCTCCTGTATCGTGGAGGCAGTTTACAAACATTAATTGCACGAGGACAAACATCCAGATACGGAACAATTATTTATAGGCCATACAAATACTTGTTCCATGCGGGATTCGAACCCACGGCCATCAGCGATACAACTCATTACTAAGCCACTGAGCCACGGAGCCGTGCAGCCGAGCAGCTGTAAAAAAAGACAGTTAGATAATCTGCCAAAATTGGATATTTTTATGGTTGCGCAGTATTTTTCAGAAAATTATGATGTTTTATCATCAGAAATGCGTAGAATAAAGCTCTAAAGGTGAGGTACTAATAAAAGATGACGAAGAGTATACAGCTTTACCATTGATTAGTAACTAGGCAGTAATACAAAGGTATGTATTAACTGACCGAACCACGAAGTTGCACATGATTTACAACGACATAAAATTAAAAAACTTACTTAAATTTAATATTGCAATGATATTAAATTTTTATATTTACTATCATTATCATTACTCATACTGTTATTTACTCATACTAAATAACAGTATGAGTAATCAACTCATACTGTTATTTAGTACCTAGTGACACGTCAAGAAATTTTGTTTGTTACGTAGTTCGTCAGTGGTTGCAAACATATGGTCCTTGTTTTACTTTGACTTACTTTTGAATAAACTGATTGCGGTATTACGTTGGTAGTTGGTACCTATTCTGTTTTGAAAATGCAATGGTCGCAAACATTCAATGCGTTTAATACTAAGCTGATTTTGATGAAATTTTGTATAAAGATTATAACATGATCTACAGGATTTTATCTTCTCATATCGAACTTTTATTCCCAAGGAGCAGCATAACAGAAATAAAAAAAAAAAACAGAAAATAAAGGTTACTGATAAATAAATAACATGACAAGAAAACATGGAGTAGTAAATATGGAGAGAATAAGAAAAATATAACAATAAAGACTACTGGCTGTGCTACTGAAGGCTTCGACGTGTCGATTTGTGACGTCACATCGCGATGCGGAGCAATGCGATCGTCTTAAACGTAAAACACCACTTTACTCATTAATATTTCAGTCATTTTTAAAGGTAGAAAAAAATTAAGAACACCGTTGAATTCGTAATTTTTTATACAATTTTTTGATACCCTTAACAAAATTGGGTAGCCAGACCCATTATGACGTAGACCATAGATAAATGAATATGTAGCAAGCTAGACGTGTTACTCCTAGTAATAATGATTTTTTAATGGCAACCTTACGATTACTGCCATCTGTGGTTAAAACTCAAAAGTCGATATGAAAAATAAATGTGACGTGAGTGTGAAATGTGAATTATAGGTTAACTTTCATTGTTTATCATAAAAATAAAATAATGGATATAGTTAATGAGATTTTAGAAAGGGAACAAAAGAAAGCTGAAAAATATAAACCAATTACTGTAGAAAAACATTTAGAAGTAGAATTAGATATTGGAACACTTCTTGCTTCAGACACTAATGACTTGGATTTAAAAACATTACAGTAAGTAACATTATTGAAACAGTAATCATTCTTTTGCTTTTTGAAACATAGAATTATCTTATTATAAAAAGGTATCGAGAATTTTACGAATGATAAAATATATTTTTCTCAAACATCCTGAATTGGTATGGTACATTATTTTTGCTTAAACTTTACTCTGTGTTTTAATAACCCATGAAACAAAAACATAATGATATTGATTGAACTAGTTTATTTATATAAATGATTTACAGTTACCTCTTTTCTTCCTTTTTATCAGCTTTCCATAACTGCTGGATGGAAGAATGCGCTAAATGGATTTTATAGCTTTAAAGATTAGTATAATATGAACCATGCTTGGCATACTGGTGATGCTGCTCTGTTGCTCCCCATCATCAGTTTGTTGGGCTTGGGTTTAACATTTTAGAATAAATACTAACGATCAATTAGTGGTCGAAATTTAACCATAAGGCTGGCTTTTCACTATGGGATATAAAATATATTATATCCCGAAATATAAATTATATCCTGCGATTGGCTTTCACACTGTGAGATATATCTTTTAACCAGTGTGCATTTGTCATTGGTCATCGGATTACCCCCCTTTACCCCGTACACCGTTCTCCAGGGGAGCGGAACGGTGTGCGGAGTACAGGGGGCGAAATATAATATGAAAATATCGCTCGGTCGATCAAAAAAATACAGCTTGAGATGTAATATATATTATAGCTAAGTGTAAATGGTTCCATATGAAATGTATGGTGAGCGATATTAATTTATATCTCGAGATGTAATATATATTATATTATATCCCATAGTGAAAAGCGGGCTAAATTTATTAAATTTTAAGTGTGCTGTATTTCACTTCTAACTGCACAATCATAAATAATAAAATACAAATATCTTTTATACAAAAGATATAATAAACACTTTTGCCTTTACATACACTCCACAGACTATGAAAGAGGAACATTTTATTTTAAATTATTTGATAGGGTTAATTACAGGTAGATGAAGTTAGCTTTTTCAAAAAAAAATTATATCCCCTTACCCTCAATTTATAGTAATATTTGAATTTAATTTTAGGTCTGATAAGGAAAGAGATAATTATCTTCAAGCATTATCTCGGGATAATACGCAGTTGTTGTTAAACAAAGTTTGGGAGTTACCAACAGAGAGAATTGATGAGGCGATAGTTGTTAAGTTGCCTGCACCCAAAACTATATTGCCTCGATCCAAGCCAGTGCCCAAACCTAAGCCTTTGACTAAATGGCAGGAGTTTGCTAAGTCTAAGGGCATTACTAAAAAGAAGAAGGATAAACTGCAATGGGATGAACAGTTACAAAAATGGGTGCCATTGTTTGGGTGAGCTTATTTATCTATATTATGAAAAAAAAAATGATGTCAATGGGCCACAGCATCCACTCACCATCAGATGGATTAATTATTTGTTAAACTTATTCTATAAAAAAATGTTTCATTTTTATTTTGTCTGCAAATAGCAGAATAACTATGGACTTCAAAATTATTATATTGATGAAAATGGTATGGTCCATGAATATTATACATCTCATATGTAAAGCAAGAGAGGTACGTCTTTACTGTCGACTTCACAAGATAAAGCTGCCGGTTTACATTACATTTGGAATATTATTTTAGAATTTTCTGCATTTTCTTTGCTATTTTGCCAATATACTTGGTGATGAGATTCAGGAAATAAGGGTAACAACAAACACACATTTCACCTGATGGTAAGAAAAAATATTGGGTTTGTTTGACTAAGGAGTGATTATACTCCCATAGAATATGAACATAAAATAAATAATTACATTTGTGCTCACAAAAGTACCTCATGGTTAATGTAGATATTTTTCCAATTAATGATTGCCAGCAAGCAAATCCTTGAAAAGACTTGTTTAGCGATGCATTTAAAAAGGCTGTTGCGGAATATTCATATCATCTATTGGCTCAATATTTTATGTAAGTCAGAATTTCATCTTAAAGGATTAAGTTAATCCCTAATGTTATTAAAAACTATTAAGCATTTATATAAAATTAAAAAAAAAGAGGTTTTCAGTCAGACTAAACATTCTTTTTTTATGTATGCTAAGCAGTATCTTCTTCAATTGTGTGCCAATTTCAATGGTTATTTTTTAACTAAACTTCAGGCGTGCTGACATATAAATTTAGAGAAAAACTGCACCCATAAGAGTGAAAATAAAATGATAATTAACAAAAATAAAAAATAAATATAATTAAAATAGGAAATAAAGTTTTTAATTATAATTAATATATTTTAACTAAAAAATAAGTAATATATTTTAACAAGATTTTAGTTGTTACCATGAGCTTATGATATACTTTAGTCCACACAAAGGGGTAAAAAATTGACTGAATAAAAAGTATAAGCTAATTTCAAAGAAATAAAAATGTCAAAATAATTTCCACATAACAGCTTCTGAATTTGAGGTTTTAAATCTTTTATACTTTATATCAGCTTTTTCCCTTTATTTAAGTCAATAATTACTTACAAATATTCATATTTTGTTCTGGTAGATATTTATTAGCTTTTTTACAGTACACAAAGGGTAACCAACGGAACCCTATTACTAAGCCTCTGTTGTCTATCTGTCTGTCATTGTGCTGTATCTCATGATCCGTAATAGGTAGACACTTAAAATTTTCACAGAATGTGTATTTCTGTTGCCGCTATAATAATAAGTAATAAAAATTCAAATGGGATCACCTACTAGAGTATAACTAATAAAGTATATTTTCTTCAGGTTTAAGAAAGCTGCAGCTGAGAAAGAAAAGAATTGGCTAATAGAAGTTCCTCAGCATGTTGATCCAATGACAGATATGTATGAAAAGAAGGCTGGTGAAAAATCTGAGAAAGTGGCCAAGAATGAACTGCAAAGATTGAAAAACATAGCCAGGGCAAGAAAAGTAAATATACCAAGAGTTGGATTGCCAGTCACTTCTGATAAAGCTAATGCAACACAGGTAAATGTTAGATTTTCAAGTGTATTACTTTAGAAAGTGTTAACCATATAGTAAGTTATTCTTTTTGTATTTAAGAGTCTTTTAAATGATATGTTTCAATATTTCTCCAGACTGAATTTTGAAAGCATTACATTGCACATGTGTATGTACAAGGACTGGTTGCTCTATTCCCTTACTCTTTTTTTTATGGGATAGGGTGACAAACAAGCACACAGTCCATGTGCTGGTTAATAGTTGCTGTGACCCATAGACATCTGCATCTATCCTCAATAAAGAATCAAAATGCAGATGCGTGAGGACTAAGATGGAATGCTTCGTTTCCAGTAAAAAGGGTCTCCGGTTCTTTACACTCACCATACGAAACAGCAGGGTTAAGCTGGTATTGTACACTGGTATTATCTGAGAGTGTGGTCGTGCTATAACTATACTACTAATATAGCTGCAGCATGGCTATACCACATATCAAATCTGTTAATCCGGTGGTCTAACATGAACCAAGAAACGTCATGCACTGGTCCAACAGTTACAATATCACTATAATACTCATATGAGTACTATAGTGATATATATGTCCAATGTTACATAATTGCTCCATAAAAGGTTCCTCATCCTTGTGTGTGTGTGTGTATGTATAAAATGGAATGTTTTAAGCCTGAGTCCATTTTCCTGTTCAATCTCCTTCATATTTTATAGTATTTTTTATATAAGTGACAAACATGCACTCTGTCCAGTGGATAGTAAGTAGATGCTGTGGCCCATAAACTTGGCACTGACAATAGTCATTAAATTGTCAAAAGTTTTAGATTTACCACCAAAACACAGGGGTTTTGCATAAATTAAGAATTAGAAAATCAAAAGACAGATATTTTAAATGTTTAATGTTTATTACAGCTTGCAACCGCTGCTGTAGTAGCAAAGGCTTCAACAGCGTCTCTCGGTAAATTCCAAGATAAATTGCCTAAGGAGAAAGAAGCCCGTGGCAAAGGGATTCATGAATTGATTCCAGGCAAAGAAAGGAAACGGAAGGCGCCAATACCAACACCTCAGGCAGAAAAAGAAAATAATTTGAACCTTCTAGACAAAATATTGAATAAGAGACCCAAAATCGATATAGAGAAGGCAGTGGCAAAACGCATACATGATGAACAAGTTCAGTAAGTATTCATGACAGAATAAAGATATATGTTTATACCTGTAATAAGATATTAACCAATTTAAATAAAATAAGTAAGTTATCACATGTATGTTTTAATAGAATGAATTTTTTGGACATGAAAGTATGTTTGAAGAACTAAAGTGCAATAAAAATCTTATTACAATAGTGTGGTTTGTGGTTGTTAGCACGACTGTTGATGACATAGTCTCTGTTCCGAATTCCGGGTTGGGCCAATATCAGTGATTGAGTTTTTATTAAGAAATTCTCAGCAGTAGCCGAGGGTTGGGAAGTTGGTTCATTGTGCCAAAACTTTAATAGAAATCACCTACACTTTTTTGTTGGGCAGACTGTATCTTTTTTAATAATTATTCTTTGTTTTATGTAGGAGGTCAGAAGAGAAGAAAACTATGAAACCGGGTAAAGGAAAACGCAAGAGCAAGGGTGGTAACACTACGAATTTCACAGCTAAGAAACCTAAAGGTGGTAAGGGCCAGAGGAATCCTAATAAAAAGACTCCTGGAAGAAAGAGGAGATAATAATATCAAGAATAATGTATTGTGTACGTCTATCAATAAAGTCATCTAAAAACCTTAATATTTCATTTTAGATATCATCCTTTATTAGTATAAGTTTATTTGGGGTTCTTTTTTGTCAGCCATATTTAGTTCCATAGAAACAGAAACGTTTTTACTCAATATAGATTATAACTAATACTTATTGAAAGTCGCTCTTTTGTTTAATTACCACTGGTTCGAAAAAAACCTCTGTCCTGGGAAGCACCAGCAAAAAACCCAGCGGGACTTTTTTTTAAAATAGCAGCTTACAATCATGTATGTTACACAAATCAACAACACAACAAATTAGAAATAGCTTGGTAGCGATCACCTCATTTCCAGGGGTTATTATCATCCATAAATTCTTTAATATTATAATAACCCTTTTTATACAAATTTAGTTTATTAAAGTTTTTGAACTTTGAGCAGGACAAGTTTTGTATATTTTCTGGAATTTTGTTGTAAGTGTATACATCGCCCCAAGAATGAATTACTGACTCGATGGAGTCGAGTAACTGGTACTACTAGCTTGTGTCTGTTCCTAGTATTTACAAAATGAATATCACTTATTTTCGTAAAACTACTTTTACTTTTATGTACGTACATTACATTTTCATAAACGTAATAATAATAATAATGTCCTCCAGACCGAATTTCGGTCACGGCGGCCAGCCTCAACGGAGACTAGCCATCGGCGCAGGAAGGATTATAGTGCACGAGTGTATGCGCAAGCACAGGTGCACTCTCTATTCCCTCACTCTCATAGTCCGATGGGACGGTAAACCGACACGACCGGAAAGAGATCAGGCGCAAGACCAACGGCTTAACGTGCTTTCCGAAGCACGGGGTTGAGACACCACCAACTTCCTGACTCCGGGCAGCTACTGAGAATTTCTTGATAGAAAAACTCAATAACTGATTTTTTTGTCCCGATCCGGGACCTCATGATCAGCAGTCGCACTACTACAACCACTAGACCAACGAGGCAGTCATAAATGTATTGAGGCCAAAATTAATATAAGTATTAATTTCCTTAAATTTTTGTCGCGGCTACTCTTTAATCTTTAAATCATAAATTGCTCTTATGACCCTCTTCTGTAAAACAAATACAATTTCAGTGTCAGCTGCGTGTCCCCATACTAAAATACCATACGACATTATGCTATTTCATTGAATGACTTCCGACTGTTTAAGGAGAATGTTTTAGAAGTAAAAGTATTATTAAATTAATTGCAAATAAGATTAAATAATGTTCCATACAAGAAATTAGGATCATTTTGGTATGAAAGTGATGGAAGTTTTTTCACTATGTTACTTTTAAACTTCTCCAAGCGACGAGCATTTACTGGAACAGACACAACTTTCTCATCTACTTGCTTCTTGTGAACATAAGGTAACGATACTACTTGTCCACAGTGGTCAGAACTTATTTTTTGAATTATACATTTATGCAACGGCTTCACGTTTGTAAAAATATTATCTATACGTGTTGCACTAGATTGAGCAATACGGGTTGGCTCTAAAAAGAAATTAAAAAGACCATATGATTTAAACAATGATCTAAATTTAATATTGATGGAAGAAGCTTCTAGGAGATTGATATTAAAGTCTCCACATATTACAACAGATTTATTCACTTTATTAATTCATATAGACATAAACAGACGTTTGCAAAAATGTTTCTTCATCAGCCGCTACAAGGACCCACCTGTACCATCTCCAGCCCTATGTATGTTCACTGATTACTCGAAGACGCTTTAATTGATTTGGAAAATTCTTTTTTTGTTTCAAAGGGTATATATACTTCCCAGGTGGTCCTATATAAATTTGATCAAGATCTGACTAGGTACTAGTTTTTAAGTTATCCTTAATAATTTATATTGAAGTCGGTTATACAAAATTTTTCATTTTACCACTTGTATTCTATGAGCATTTTGTAAACTTCGAGATAACATTGTAGAAATAATACACACTGGAGTGAACTGTATTAATATATTAGAAACTTGTACAAAGGTTGGCGTTAAAATCACGAATGTGCTAATTTGCGTTGCCGAGTGTGGTATATCGAGGTCGCGACTACCGATCGATATGCTGCGACGCCCCCGCTTCTCAGATATTGTATTTAGTTAAGTGATTCCACATTATCCTCCTATAGAAGTATCTAAGTAATAGCAATCTTGAAGAGGGCAATGTATAGTAGTCTGGTCCTTCGAGCCGGATCTGGCAAGAGTGTATGAAAGGGAACAAAATATTATTTAAATTCTATTGCAAAACAGTGCTACTATACTTCCCTCTACAAATCCATTTCTTTAGAGAAGAATAATATTTCTCGCCTTAATAGTAAAAGTCCGAACGCTGAACACCAAAGAAGATATAAATCACTACGTCTATAAAGCGTAGACCCCCGTTGTAGAGATGATTGCCTTAACGTTTCAAAGAGCAATGGCAGTAAAATAGTTGAGAAAAATTATAGCGTCTAGAAATAAGTTATATTTAAAATGAGTTTTATTATTTTTCTATGATTTTTCAAATAAAAATGAATTTTAATTAAAGCCACAGAAAAAAAACAAACATTTTTGGGAATATCAAATGATCATTTTACTCTATTCAAATGTTGCCATTTAGTATATTCATACTATTTTCGTATACACTTTGAAACAGTACCAACACAACACACAAAATATTTTTATGTTAAGTTATTATTAGTAATAACTGTACTATCAGTAATAATAACAATAAAAGTGATATGGCTGAGATTAAGTCTCTTACAAAGAATTTCCTACAATAATACATTATCTCAATCATAGTACTATGTAACAATTCCATTTAATGTTATGCCAACACTAGCTAAAATAAAATGTCAGTTTTTTTACTGGCTTTACGGCTCTGGGTTCTAGCCCTTCTGAGAATGTCACTATGATACAAAAGCCCTGGAGCCATGCCAGAAATATATTCATAGTATTCAAATATATAATAGAGATACAATAACCTAAAAACTCTCAATTATGTATTATTTATTAAGCTAACATCAAACAACCACTGGAAGAATGACTCTTTCCAAGTGACATAGGACATAATCTAAAAAGGTTCAAATGTAAATATCTTTTTTTGACGCCTTCTCAGTACAAAATTCTTTGACAGAGTTATTAAGGGACTGACGCTTAACATTTTAAGATCTTTTTGGTATATAGACGCTACCATTTCTTCTCAACTAATTTTATGTATGAAAGTCTGCCATTGCTCTTTCGCTTGGCTGGTGGATTGACGATCGCTGTGCCACTTTTGATAATACTCCCCTTCGTAGGTTTGCGTGTTTTACGAGTGGCGTAAGCCATATATCAGATGCTATAATATCTTTATGACATATCCTATAATGTACCTACTTATTAAAAGATTGTGCCTACAGTCAAGATATTTTTCAAATAATACCTACATTAGATACGAGATATACCTAGTCAGGTCATAAGTATTGCCACACAGTAAAAACTTTTCTTTTAGAATGCTCGACACAAAAAAGTTTATTGAATTCGAATTTCGAATTGTTCATGAAAATAAAACTGTATACTTTTTAGAATTTTACTCATTTTAAAATATGGAGTGGACGCTTAAAGAAGACCGTGTTGCAGTTATTGCGTTGCATCGTTGCGGTTACGCGCCAATTCAAATTTTTGACATACTGAAAAATTTGAATATAACCAATAGATTCGTTTATCGTACCATCAAACGATACAACGAAGACTCTAGTGTAGATGATAGGTCAAGAAGTGGTCGCCCTCGGTCTGTTAGGACTCCAGCAGTGATAAAAGCTGTGAGGGAGCGAATTCAAAGAAATCCCAAACGTATGCAGAAACTGTTGGCCCTTCAGATGGGGTTAAGCAGAACCACGGTGAAAAGGGTGTTAAATGAAGACAGGGCTTCGGGCATATCGAAGAAAAACAGGACATCGTTTGAATGCTCGTCTAATGGACCTGAGACTGAAGAGATGCCGCGCTTTGTTGAAGCGGTACGCGGGAAAAAAATATCGGGAAATTCCTTTTTCGGATGAAAAGATTTTTACCGTAGAAGAGAGCTACAACAAACAAAATGATAAGGTGTACGCACACAGTAGTGAAGAAGCGAGCAACCGTATTCCGCGTGTCCAACGAGGTCATTTTCCATCCTCGCTCATGGTATGGTTGGGAGTTTCTTATTGGGGCTTAACAGAGGTACATTTTTGTGAGAAAGGTGTAAAAACGAATGCAGTTGTGTATCAAAATACAGTCCTGACGAACCTTGTGGAACCTGTTTCTCATACCATGTTCAATAACAGGTACTGGATATTCCAACAAGATTCGGCGCCAGCTCATAGAGCGAAGAGCACACAAGACTGGCTGGCGGCGCGTGAAATCGACTTCATCCGGCACGAAGACTGGCCCTCCTCCAGTCCAGATTTGAATCCGTTAGATTACAAGATATGGCAACACTTGGAGGAAAAGGCGTGCTCAAAGCGTCATCCCAATTTGGAGTCACTCAAGACATCCTTGATTAAGGCAGCCGCCGATATTGACATGGACCTTGTTCGTGCTGCGATAGACGACTGGCCGCGCAGATTGAAGGCCTGTATTCAAAATCACGGAGGTCATTTTGAATTAACTGTAGTGTCATAAGAATCTATGTTTTGTTAAGTTCATTTTGGTATATAAATGGTTACATAATGAATTAACTTGTTTCAATTATTTTATATTAAACATGTGACAAAATTTATGACCTGACTAGGTATATAGGCCTTCAACTCGGTACCGCCGAATACTTAGTACAGAAATCCGAAATATCTGTTAATAGAACTATAGTGAAAAAAGCGTGTAAATTGGGGCACTTAGGGAATCGATAAATAATTTTGCTTTTTATATCCATGATTATAAAACGTTCTAGAAGATTCTAGGACAATCTGCTTATGACACTTTCAATATCAACAAAATAGAATAAGGGGTGACAAACGAGCA